AAGGATGGAAGGCTGAGTCAACCCTGAGCCGGTGAGATTTGAACCGCTGAACTGCTGATCTAGCAGTAGCCTGCAGTGCTGCATTTAACCACTGCGCCACCTCGGCTCTTATGAATTGGGTGAGATTCCCGGAAGAGCTGGAGTGACCCCTAGCTGGGGCTGCCTGGAGAGACTCTGCCAGCTGACTCTCCCCCTTCTTTTCTTTTGCCTACCAGAAATCACCCCTTGGGCACAGCTTCTGCTGGGGACTGATGGAGGAAAGTGAAATCTGCATCCAACACATGGAGACCGAGTCCATCCAGCAGCTCTTCTTCCTGGGCCCACAGGACCACGCACACCTGGAGAGGAGAGGGAGCCCTGGCACTGGAGCGGTGCTTCCAGAGAAGAACGGCCGCTGGCGGGAAGAGGAGGGAAGAGGGCTGAAGGAAGGCAGCGGCTGCAGTGCAGACAGTGGCATTTGCCTGCAGGAAATCTCTGGCAGCCTGGACAATCTGCATTTCACCTTGGACGTTGGTCAAGAGGCCGGCATGCAGAAAGATGCCGGAAGCTCTGGGATAAACGGGCAGCCGCTCCCAGGGGAAGGATCACCACCCGAGGATGTGACTGAGGCCCATTTTTCTGGGTACAAGCAACAGTCAGGGGCTCCTTTGGATTGCCTGGGGCCTCCCTCCAGCACGGATGGGCAGCTGCTTCTGACTACTGGCTATTTGAAGCAGACCTTCCTCGGAGCCCCCCCTGGCTTGCAGGGGGCTGCCCTCCCGAAGGACTTCCTGCATCGCCTGGGTCAGGAGGAAGAGCAGTTTCCAAGCAGCTTCTCCCCGGACGTCTTCGGACCGTAGGAGTGGCAGCCTCCTCCTCTCCAGACGAGAGCCTCCCTTGTCACTTCCCCCCCTCCAGCGACAGCTGATCTGGGATCCCCAGGGATCTCCTTCTCAGGGCTAGGTATAAGAGGTCTGCCTCCTCCCCGGGATCCACAAGGGCAGAACCCTGCAGAGAACTGAGAATCCCTCTTGAGAGCGTGAGAAGGGAAGAGGGAGCCCGGATGCAAAGCTCCTGAGTGCCTCGTTGCATTTTCTCTTCTTTTCAAACTCTCCCAAAGGCCTCCTGCGCTCTGTGAGGCTGGAGGAGAAACCCCGGGGGTTCCCAAGGCAGAAACAGAAGCGAATACGGTGAGGTAGTCCTCGCTTAATGAGCAGAGTTGGGACCAGCAACTCAATCACTAAGTGATCTAGTAGTTAAAGAAGGCGTCCTGTATTTCTCCTGCCAGCTTCTCCGTTGGCTCTGCTTGTATTAAGCTGGCTAGGAAGCCCCCACGTTGCTCATGCGACCATGGGACCCTGTGATAATGGTAGCTGCCCTCTGGATGCAAAGTGCCCGAATCTCAAGACATGTCTGTCAGGATACTGCAACAGACGTAAGTGCGAGGACTGGTCGTAAGGTTACTTTTTCAGCGCTGTCATAGTTTTGAACAGTTGGTAAACAGGGCAGTTGTTAAGCAAGGACCACCTGTGGTGCGGCTCACTCTCCCTTTTCTTCTGAAAAGGAAAGGAAGGCAAAAAGGGCCTTGCACACGAGAGAAAGCGCCTGAGTCTGGGGAAGGCTGTGCTACGAAAGGGGGCAGTGGGGGCCTCCAGTAGGAAAAAGGACCTGCCCCCTCTGGATCCTCTGCAACGTTGGTTGGTGCCATCCAAAGGGCCCAGAGCTGCAACCCAGGATGGACTCCATCCAGCTCTCTCCATGGAGTCCCGTCCTCCTGCCCCCTTTTGCCTTTCCAAAAATCCGCAGGAGCTGCCCATTTGCTGACTGTCCGGGAGGAGAAGCCATGCGGTGACCATGCAGCTGGCCTGCAAAGGTCCAGCCATTCCTAAATAGGAGGGGGGGGCTGGTGCTGGAGGTCTATCTGGAGTCCTTCCCTAGGAAGGAGCTGGAGCAGTGATAAAGAGCCAGACCTCAGGCACCCGGATCTCAGGGAGGGCCCTGGGATGAGGAGGCGGGGATAGAGACTCTGCCTTGCCTGGGAATGGTGCTGGGCAACAGAAGATGGGGGCACTCAGCTGCCCAGGTCTTCAGCAACTCACAGGACAAGCGTCTGCTCAACACAAATGCACCTTAAGTCTTGCCTCCCCCCCCCTCTCAAAGAGCCCTCCTCCCAGGCCAAGCTTCCTAAAGAGGACACCCCAGACCATCTTTTATTTTATTTTATTTATTGTATTTATTTATAGTATTTATTTTATTTAATTTAAAGAATTTATATGGTCACCCAACTCTGACAATGTGAAAAGCTTACAAGAAACCACTAAAATAAAAATGACAAACTCTTTCTGTTTTTCTGGTTAATGCAATAGTCTGGACAAAAGGATCATCTTAAAAAAGCCTTGATTTTTTTTGTACAAACCAACTTTATTTATTTAATGTATTTTAAACTCTGCTAAATTATCCTTACCAATGTCTTTTGCCTTATTTAATGAATATTGTATAGATATGTGATACTTCAGGATTAAAGTTTGAACACAGCACAATAAAGAATGCATTTCCATGATGGTAAATTAAGACTTTGGGGAACGGAGCCTCTTCCCCCTCCCCCTGGATGTTTCTCAAGAAGGTTCCTCTAAAGGGCTTCACCCTTCTTGCCCATGGCCGGGTGGGGCTTATGCCAGGAGGGCTGGCCAGTTCCTGTTGTCCTAAACAGGGATCGGCCTCCCTGCCTCCTTCAGCATTTAAGAGCAAGGATTTGTCCCAGGATTTGTGGGAAGGGGGGGTGGGGTGGACTATAGAAGAGGGGCATGGACTGAGCCACTTGGCGCCAGGGAAACCCATCCGGAATTCTCCTGTTAAGGTAATAGCTCCACAAGCAACTGCTGTCTTTCTATTTCACACACACACAGAGAGACCCCTCTGTCTGCAGAGAATCAAAAACTGAAGAGAAGCAGCCCAAGGCATGAAACGCCCCACAGTCAACCAAAGGGAGACCGTGGCCCAAGCACGGCTGCTCGTGTGCTGCCTGGTCAGGGGCTCCGTCAGTGGGGACGATGGGCTGGCTTGCTGCAGGGTTGTTACAGCAGCTGGTTCTGAAGTGCAACCGGCCAAGGCTGCTGGTCTAAAGAGAAGGGCGCTGTGATTTCATGGAGGACAGAGCAGGCGTAGACATGGCCAGGATTGCTGGGACCTGACAATCCAGTATTACGCAAAAGAGCCAAGGAGGGATTCAACTAATCCAGCTTCCTTCCCTAGAGTCCCAGTAGGACACCTGACTCAACCTGCAGGAGCATCACCTGCTCCTCCTCCCACCACCACCCTGAAAAGGGATTTAAGTTGATCGCATCCCCCCCCCCATGCATTGTTTCCAAGAGGGTTTTGAGTCCTGGCCACCCTTCAGGTATTCTCCTTGGGAAGCTATTTTTCCAAAGGTGCTTTTTTCCCCCCCTTGAAAACATTTTGCTTTTCATCCAAGAAGCAAAAAAACTCATTCATTCTTTTTTGGGGGGGGACGGGACAACCATGACCTGGATGATTGGGAATCTCCACAGACATTCGTTAAGCTATTGTAAACATCCTTTTCGTCTTTGTTGCTCTTCCCTGGACTCTTCCTAGGGCCTCAGCATCTTTTTTCTTTCATGGCGACTGGAGCGGGATGGAATCAACCTTCGAGATGTGACCTCCCCACTGAACTAGAGAGTGGTGTCATCGCTTCCTGTGACCTCGGTGCTCTCCTCCTGCTGATGCAGCCTGGAATTGCTTTGGCTTTTTCGGCTGCACCCGGGTGAGACTTATGCTTAAGCCAGAGTCCCTCCCAGCCTCCTCTCAGCTGCAGCTGAGGCAGATATTCTCTCTCCTGCAGCTCCCCCTCTGTTTTTTCCTGCCTAAGGGCAGGATTTATTTTTCCCCCACCACCGAACTGCACCACCTTGAATTAGACCCATCTTGAATGTTCAAATTGGTCAAAATCTTTCTCAATCTTGAAGGCATCTTTCAAAGTTTTGGCAATTTCCCCCACAGTTGGCGTCATCCACGGTTGATGAGTGCTCCCTCAATCCCCTCCTCTTGTGGGTCGTTTCTGAAGGAAGAGCCCTGGGGCCAAGACCCTGAGGAGCCCCGCTGCACACGTCCTTCCAGGCAGATATGTCGTTCTACTGAGGACCAGACGCTGAGTCTGGTTGGCCAGCCAACTTCAGGCCAACCTGGCAGGAGTCCTAAGGAGCAACCTGGCAGGAGTGGGGCCCACCCATCTCTGCCCTCAGGAAGAGGCTACCCAGCTGCCCAAGGCCAAAGCTTTCCCTCCTGCCGCCCAGCACTTCAGATCCTCATGGCAGCTATGGAGCCGGGCCAGGATGATGCTGGAAGAGCCTCATGGTCACTTATGCGCATCTCCGTCCTACGGTCCCTCTGGTGAAATTGCCCACAGCCGACACCTGCTCCGTGTGTGGCACCACTGATGGTGAAGGGAGGGGCCAGCTCCAGTCCCAGCGGCCTCAGGTTGCTAAAGGGGGCAAAGACACATCAACTGGCAGAAGTATGCTGGTGGGGGGGCTTAGTGTTATGGCACCTATGGCAACTCTTATGAACCCCAAAGCAGCTCCCTGAAATGCACTTACCGGATGTGATAAAATCTGAGCACAAAATTAGGCCCTGGAGGAAATAAAACAAGGCAAGACGGTTAAATTCTGAGCACCAGATTCTTTAATACTTCTGCTCTAGAAAAATTACAGAAGTGGTGATGGAGTCCCTCTTTAAGGCTCTACCGTTTTAATAAGGAACAAGCCCAGGCACGGGGGGGGGGGGGGGGGAGGGGGAGTGCTGTGTGGAGGGATTAATCCTCCCCCTTGAACTGACTTTCGATAGTGAGATGGGCACCACACAAATCTAATAAATAAATAAAATAAAAATACTTTCCATTTCTCTCTGTGTTTATCATGCACAGCTACCAAGCCCACCCACCCCCACACAATAGGAGCCCCCACGTTCACTGTTACTGCTGCAGGATCATATAAGGATAAAGGCTGGTTCCCATCAACCTCCTCCAAAAATTGATTCCACCATTAGAGAGTCTGCTGTCTGCCGTGATGAAAAGTCTCTGGGGCTGCAGCTGCTCTCTGCTATCTGAGGTGAGGAAATCTCCCCAAGCAGGTTCCTGCTTTTCCAATTGTCCCTAAAGTCTAAGGGTCTCCGGTTACTTTGCCATCACATCTATGACTCCATTCTGCCCCACTTACTGTCCCAGCAGGGTCCTTCCTGGTACCACCTGACCAGGACATAGCCAAGAACTCCGAGGATCAGGAGGGAGAGGCTGACACCAAGGACCAAACCAGGGATGCTGATGGACTCTCTTCCTGCAAATAAAACAGCAGGGTCTGGGGAAGATGGGGCACTGGGCTGTTTGACACCAGTGGCCAAGTGAGAGGCCCTTCAGCCTGGGCCTGGGGTACCCAACTCCAAGAAGAGGGGCCGTGTGGGAGGCATTCCTGTCTGCACATGCAAACATCTGTGTGAAAGTGGATGGGTGGGCTCCTGAGCCACTGGCACACGCCCAGGGAGCTGCAGCCAAGCATCAACTGTAGTCTGAAAACTTTGGAAAGGGGGCCCCAACTTTTCCAAGGCAGTTTCCTCCCCACCCCCCACCCCCCTTTCTCCTCCTCCTCAAAAGCAGAGACCCAAAGAGTCCTCCTACCTGTTCCCCATGAAAGGAGGCACCACACAAGTCGAACACTGGGGAGAACAAAGCCGAAGGAGAGAGAGGATGTTGCCTCCACCCCCAATGATGTTCTTACATGCAGACATTCCTGGGAATAATAGAACTTGGAAGGCAGGCATGCCCTAATGAACGTTTTTTTTTTTCCTTTTT